TGACGCCGACGACGCCGACGACGACACCGACGCCGACGACGACGCCGACGCGGCGGGGAGCACGACGCCGACGCCGACGCCGACAAGCACGACGACGACGACGACGCCGATGCCGACGCGGACGCGGACGCCGACGGCGAGGTAGTCGCTGGCGCCAGCGATGACGACACCGACTAGCACGACGCCGACGCCGACGTCGACGTCGACAACGACGACGACGCCGACGACGGCGACAACAACGCCGATCACGCCGAGACCACCGACGACGACGCCGACGACGACGACGACGCCGACGCCTGCGGCGACGACGACGACGACAGCGACGACAATGACGACGACGACTACGCCGACTTTGACGCCACCGACGCCGACGCCGACGCCGACGACGCCGACGCCGATGACGACGCCGACGACGGCGACGGCGACGGCGACGACGCCGACGCCATCGCCGACGACGACGCCGACGCCGACGTTGACGCCGACCCCAACGCCGACGCCGACGCCGACATCGACGCCGCCGCCGACGACGACGACGACCACGACGACGACACCGACGCAGACGCCGACGCGGCGGAGAGCACGACGACGACGCCGATGTCGAGGTCGACACCGGCGCCGACGTGGACGTCGTCGCCGACTTCTACTATGACGTCGCCGATAAGCACGACGCCGACGACGCCGAGGTCGAAGACGACGACGGCAACGATGACGACGCCGACGCCGACGACGCCAACGCCTGCGACGACGACGCCGACGCCGACGCCGATGCCGACGCCGACGCAGACGCCGACGCCGACGCCGACGCCGACGTCGACGACGCCGACGCCGACAAGCACGACGCCGACCCCGACGTAGAATATGACGACGACGGCGACACCGACGCCGATGCCGACGTCGACGCCGACAAGCACGACGCCGACGAGCACGACGTTGACGCCGACGAGCACGACGTCGACGACGACGACGACGACGACGACAACGCCGACAACGCCGACGCCGACGCCGCCGACGCCGACGCCGACGCCAACTTCGACGCCGACGCCGACGACGAGAACGACGACGATGACGCCGACGACGACGCGAACACCGACGCCAGCGCCGTCGGCGACGCAAACGATTACGGGGACACCGACGTCAACGCCGACGACGACGACGACTTCGACGAGCACGAGTCCGCGGCGTCGACGTCGACGCCGACGACGACGACGCCGACGTCGACGCCAACGCCGACGCAACGCCAACCCCGACGACGACGACGACTCCGACGCCCACGACGCCGACGACGACGACGCTGACACCGATGCCGACGCCAACGCCGAACATGACGTCGACAATGTCGACGAGTACGACGCCGACGCCAGCGACCACGAAACGCCGACGCCGCCGCCGCCGGCGACAAAGACGACGACAACAACGCCTTCGCCGACGACGACCACGCCGACCCCGACGCTGATGCCGACGACGACGTCGACGCCGACGCCGACGCTGACGCCAACGCCGACGACGAGACGGGGACGACGACACCGACGCCGATGCCGAGAAGTCGACGCCGACAGGCCGCTGGCGCTTTATCCCTGCCCGGGCCCCAGATTCCCAGGCCCTGCTGGAGCTCGGAGGGAGGGTTTATTCCAACATCGTTGATGACTCTTGGGTTTACACTGGTCCTCCTCCTCCTCCTCCTCCTCCTCTCCTTCCCGATGGCTGCACGCCACCCTCCCCGAGGCCCCCCTGGGGCCCATGGGGGCAGGAGCCGGGCCGAGGATACAAAGCTGAGGGCGTCACGTCACCCTCTCCGAGGCGGGAGGGTGGCGTGACGCCCAAGCCGAGCCTCTCGGAGGGTGGGCAAGCGCCCAGCGGCTCGATGCTCTTCCAAGGGCCCCCCATGACCTCCCGACCCGTTCCCTAGGATGCATCATCGGTGCAGAGCTGTTTCCTGATGTGGGGGCCCGAGAGCGGACCTCCATCGGCTACACGCAAGAGTGACCCTGGGTAAGAGTGACCTTTGGTGCGCGGCGTTTGGGGGGCCGCGGGAGGACCGAACACAAGCGCGCAAGGCGCTACTACCGCACCGCGTTCGGCGGTCGGGGAACCCCATTGGGCCCGCACCAAAGGTCACTCCGGCGACTTACGTCTCGTCGACTCCAGAGGGCCCATGAGCGTTCCCCGACATCCGAGGGGGGCTAGAACATTGCACCAGGACCTTTGGGTTGAGATTCCAGTCGAGGTTTGAAGCAATTCAGATCGGTCTATGCGTCTGGCGGGCTATGTTTGTTAATTCTGGAAGGTGAGAGTTGGACAACACCAGCCGCCTCGATGTTTCCTGGGCCGCCGCGTGTCTGGGGATCGCCGGGCGGAGGGGCGGGTGCGGGCTGAGCCCTCGGCGGCTCCAGCTTGAAGTGGCCGTATACGCTGGAGAACAGCATATTGTACTTCAGCGATATAAGCGGCACCGAAGCCGCGCCGTAGGCCAGCGCCTGGTTGGCGGGGTTGGGGCCCACGGCCGCGTCGATGAGGCTGCGCGCCTGGATGACCAAACATTGGTGGCACGCACCAGGGAGTGGGGCGGGGCGGCCTTCTGAGAAGGCAGGAGGGCTCCTTAGACACCCTCACGACTTGTGTGAAGGCTTCTCAGGGAAATCCGACCCCTTCTCTAAGCGCCTTGGCCTCTGATGCCGCCCACCCTATAGCCCCACCCCCCTTTGCGCGCCGCCGGCAAACCTCTGCAGACGCAGAGCGCTTCGGAGGTCCGACGCGGTTTTCTCCGCCAGCGCCAGAATCCCCTCCCGGACCTCGTGGCGGCGCCGGAGGCGCGCGTCGCGCGCCCGGGGAGGGGCAGCGCGGAAGGGGGTGCGGCGCCGACCCCGAAAGTCGGCGCGGACTTCCGAAAGAGCTTGTGCTTGGCACGACGGAGACGTGCCATGAGGGCCAAGGGCCGTTTCCTGACAATCTCGGGTGCCAAGGCCCATGGAGGGCCCCAGGGAGCCTCAACACGGCCACCACCACCACCACCACCACCACCGCCACCACCACCACCACCACCACCACCAACAACAACAGAGCCCGTTCGCCGTCGTCTGCTTTCTTCTCGTTCCCTTTCCCCCTCCCCGTCGCAGCGCAGCACAGACTGCTGGGAGCTGGCGGCGCCAGTTGATACATTGGCCACCAGAATCTCACTCATTCGGCGGACCCGATTCCTTCATGGCGAATGCGCTCAAGTGGGCGACGATCGAAAACGGGTCTTACGCGAGATGACGTAGCGATCGTAGGCGGTGACTTACGCGGTCCGCCAGCGTGGCACGCTATGCTTGAAGCGAGGGCGCTTATGCGCGAGCTTGCGCGGGCAGCTTACGCGCCAAGGTCGGCGACGACGACCCCGTGTTTTGGCGTCGCTCAGATGGCTTCTAGTATCCTCTGAGGACGAGGCGGCGCGCCTCCCGCACCAGCGCGAACTGGAAGCAGGTGATCGCCGTCTGCGGCCCTAGGGCGCGGGCTTGTATGGTCAGCCGCGCTGGGAGCGCGGCCGCGGGAAGCGGCGCCGAGGACGTCAGCGAGAGCTTCGTGATCTGCGGGATCGTGAACTCCACAAGCGTCGCGGAGCACAGGGCAGACGCGACGCCTATCTGCGGCAGGACGTCCACGGTGCGAATGCGCGCGCCCCCGGCGCCAGACATGGCTCCGGAGCGACCCGGGGAGACGGCGCGAGGCGCTGGGCTTGAGCCTCCTCCCGCCCGCTCCTGCTCTTCTGCTCCTGCTCCCCCCTCTTTCACAGCGAACTCCAAAGCCTCCTCCTGTGCACCATCCCGGCTCAACCTTCGAGCCGCCGCCCGAGCTCTGGCGCGGCGAGGAGGCGCCCGCCCAAGGCGGCACAGTCGAGACAAAGACCGGAAGCGCCATGTTACGGTCGAACCTGGGACATGAGAACATCCCTCAAGAACGCGAGACCCTCCGCCAGCCAAAACGCACAGAGCAACCAAGGGTACCCTCCCCAGGGTGCACAAGAACATCCAACAACCACGAGCACGAGCATTCGGGTACACTCCCCGAACCGACCTTGATCTTAGACATCGTTCCGACTGGAAGCCGCCTTCGCCCCCCCGCCCTCCCGGGGAGGGGGGCATGAGGGCGCATGAGACGATGCAGGTTCTGGAAGTCCTCGGTGGAGCCCAGCCCTCCCCGCCATCGCTCGGACGTCCATTCCCTGTGCATTCTCCGATCTCGTGCGTGTGCTTTTTGTGCTCGATGATCCAGGCTGCTTCTCGACGGTCCTCGCCGCGAAACAACGCAGACGTCCGAGCGATGCCAAGAGCCCTCAGGCAGGGGTGGGGGCAGCCCTGGCCGCCGCGCGCGGGCCGCGCGAGCGGGCGATCCCGCTGCGCCGCGGGCGCCCGGCGCAGGCGCGGGCGCGGCGCGACCACGCACTCCTGGAGCGCTCTCCCAGCGCTGCGGGAGCTCCAGGAGCCGAAGACGGAGGAGGCGGGGAGCGGCAGGAACTGCTGCCCTCCTCGTCCTCCTCCTCCGCCTCCTCCTCATCCTTTTCCTCCCCTTGCCATCGCTCGGGCGTCCATTCCACGTGTGCTTTCGATTTCGTGCGTGCATTTTCGCGCAAGGTGATCCAAATTGTCCTCGATGGTCCTCGCCCCTCGCCGAGAAAAATGGACGCCTGAGCGATGCCAAGCCCTTCTTACCTCTGGAGGAGATCATCCCGAGGGGCTCCTCGCCGCCCTCCGTGGGACGCCTCTGCAGATCCTTCTGGGCGCGCCGCAGCGCGTGGGCCTCACTGCGCCGCCCTCCGTGTGAGGCCTCTGCCGGTCCTTCTGCGTGGGGTCGGTGGCCCGGTCGCCGCGCGTCAAGTGCCGGCGCCAGAGGTCCCACGCAGTGCCACTGCGCTGGCTGGAGGACTTCGGGAGGCTTCCGAGGAGGCCACCGCGCTCTGATGCCACGCGGTGTCGCTGCCCGGCTTTTTTTGGGGGGGAGGCCCCTGTAGAGATTCCTGGTCACGCAGTGGCTGGGAGTGCTACGGGCGCCTCGGGGAGCCAGGAGAGGAAATGGCAGAGCCTGGGAAATTGCGAGAAGGCTCTGGGGAAACTCCTGCGGGGCCTGTGGACAACTTGCCGAACTTGGAGGTACCCGATGTAATTCTACATGATTGCAGCAAGTGGTCCACCACGCTGCTGCTGTCGGAGAGTCTCGTGCTCCTGCAGATACACAAAGCTACAATGCTGCAAGAAAAATGGCACCACGCGCTGCCGCAACAGAGCTTCGTGTCGCTGCGCCGCGACGATGTTGCAATGATACGGTGGGGGAGCGATACAACGCTTCAATGCTTCAAGAAGCATCCCACGAGCAGCTGCTTGTAAGTTTTGGGCCTGCAGCTGACAAGGCCTCAACCCTCCAGTGCCAGTCGATTGGTTTGCCCCAGGTGTAAGCAGACGAGTCCTACCCCGAACGTGTCACCGATGCAGTGCCGCTCGAGGTAGCCCCGCGCTGCAAACCTTCAGTGCCGAGAAAACGTGCATCTGGAGCCCTCACGCATGACCGTCTCAGAAGCGGCGCTGTCCATACCAAGGAGGCAGGCGGTGCCGCATCGAGAGGAGTCCTCAATTCCTCTTGAGGCGCACCTGGTCGCAGAGGTCTGCCAGATCTGCGACTCGCGTCGCACGAAGCCCAGCTGCCTTCACGCTGTGGTCAGTCATCTGGCCCGGACCGCAAGGCACGCGCGCTTGTTCCTCGCGCCCCTGCGGAGTGTGGAGAGCCGGAGCTTTTTATGCGGGGGCACCGGCTCAATCCCTCGTGGACCCGAGGAAGGGGAAGGACCCCGAGTCTTCGTCAGGCTTTCGCCTAAAGGCGGCCAGCCTCTCTCGCAGGAACGCCTCCTCGTCCGCGCTGATCAGTAGCCGCTCTGGCTCTGCTGCGTTGTCCGACAGAGACGAGTCTCGCATGGATGGGCTGTACATGACGACTTTCGGCAGGTTCTCGCAGCTCTTGCCCAGACGCGGCAAATGCAGGTACACGTCGGTCCCGAAGCCATGCATCGACAATATCTTGAGGTCCCCTCCGAAGTACTGCGCGTACAGTCTGCTCAAGGTCAGGCCCACGCCATAGCCTGCGAGCACCCCGCCAGCGCGCTGGCGCTGCAAAGGGTTGCTGGCGCTGTCTGCGGAGCTCGGCCGGGAGCTTTTCTGAAACAGGGAGCCCCAGGGCGACTTCTTGTAAGTGCTGTACATGAACTTCCAGACGTCCTGCATGCTGGCTCTGGATATCCCGCCGCCTTCATCGCTGATCTTGATCGTGATGTCCTCGTGGCCATGCACGATCCTGCAGTGCACCGGGGGGAGCGGGTCGTCGAACCCCTCGGCGTGCTGCTCCACGGTGGCGCGGCACGCGTTCTTGAACACCTCCGTTAACATGTAGTTCAGGTGCATGGGCACGTACGTGAACGTCCCCGGTGTGTCGTCGTGCACGACGATGTGTGGGGCCTGGCCCTTCACGGCCCTGCAGAGCGCCGCGCTGTCGCGCCCAGCTTTCCTGCAGAGCTCGGCAGGATTGCACTCCAGCTGCAGGATGCCCGAGTGCCCCTCTCTGTTCGACGATGACTCGATGTGGTGTTGCAGCAGGAAGCGGAGCCCGATGCGCGCCATGAAGAAGCGCCGCAAAATGGCGTCCACTTGGGGCTGCACCTCGCTGTAGCCTGGCCCCAGCTCCGCCATCAGGTGCTGAACCCCGAAGGCCATCGCCTGGATCACCTCGGTGTGCTCCTCGAATATCTCTCTCAACTTCTCGGTGAACCTCTGATCTCCCTCTGGCGAGCTCGGCACCTCTTCGTTGTCGAGGTCCTCCACGAACTGCGTGTACCAGCCGATGACGTCCCGGACCCCCGGGCGCTCGCCCAGGTTGTAGGGCAGGGACCGCAGCTCCAGCACGCGCTGCGCGAAGCGGATGCGCAGCTCCCTGTGGAGCTCCACGCCGAACGCCATGCGCCGCCTCCTGCTCAGGCCGATGTCCCTGAGGTCCTGCAGCGACACCGCCGTGGTCCCCTGGCTGCCCCAGTGCTCCACTGCCCCGGTGCACCCCGCACCCGGCGCCGCCCCATGCGCGGCGGCGCCCCGCCGCGCGCCCTGCTGCGCTCGCTGGTGCGCGCTGCTCTGGCTGCCCCCACAGGCCACGCCGCGCGCCGCCCCGACCAGGCCGTGCCGCGGGTCCTGCTGCGCCCACCGGCGCAGCCGCCAGGCCAGCGCCGGGCGGGTGCCGCTGGGGGGCCGCATGCCGCCGCCAGCGTGCGCCAGGCGCCAGGTTGCCTGGGCGTGGGGGGGCCGAGGCGTCCCCTTCCCAGAGATCTGGCGCCTCGAAGCTGTGGCGGCCTGTCTCGGGCCCTGGGGCCGTCAACAAAAACAGCTTGGAGGAAAAGCCGGCCCCCGTGGAAGGATCGACAGGTCCGGGAGCCTCCACACAGCGAACACATTGGAGCGTCGGATGGCTGGTTTTCGGCCCCGGTTTCGTGCCTGTCCCAAGCCCGAGGACGGGGCAGGCACGGGTCTGAAGCGCCTGGGCTGAAGGGTCTGGAGAGGAACCCTCGGTGACGAATGGAAAGGGCAATGCGTGCCCATTCCCTCGCCCTGAGCCCTTCCCCAAGGACACCACAACCCGCCGGCTGAGGTGCAAGGGGGGAAGGGATGGCGGAAGCGGGGATGCGATGGATGGAAAGGGGATCGAAAGGGGGGTCGGCGGGGATGGAAGGGGGCCGGTAGGAGAGTACGGGAGACGCCAGGGATGGAAGGGGGGGCAGAATGGGGAACGTAGGATGACGCCAATAGTATGCACCAGCAGCGATACTGTTGGCGCCCCCCGAAAAGGGGATTCACAAAGAGCGGGGCCCCCGTCCTGGTTCCGTTCCTTGGGCCAGCAGAAGCTACGGAAACAGACCTGCGCGAGGTATGAATACAAATGAGCTAGCGAGGAGGGCGAGGGGGAGAGGGAAGAGGCGGCGAAGGAGGTGAAACGACGATACGATAGGACGAAGGAAGCTGAGGCGGGGAGGACGAATGGAGGGCGCTGCAAAGCTCATTCGCCCCAGCGGATCTGCATTCGGCTCTCAGACAATGTATCCAACGCGAAGACAAGATAAACCCATATTTCGTCGTCGTACATTGGCCCCAGAACTCTCGACCTTTTCTTCGGCGACGGATATCCGTCGTATATCGTTTTCTGTTGGTCACGGGGGCGGTGAAACTGATAAAGAATGCCTGTCGTGATTTTAGTCCGCGACGCCTCGAAATCTGGATTTCCAACCCCGGACCTCTTCTGGGGCCCTTCTTGACTTCCCGGGTTACAGGTTACGGGTTCCGGGCCGATTTCGGTGGGTTCTGGGTTCCCGGGCTCCTGGGTTCCCGATCGATCTCTTCAGCGAAAACCACTCACTGATTGGGGCTTTACTCTGGTGTAATTCAATCTGTGTGGAGCAAGCTACCGGGTGCACTCTACGTGCGGCTGGAGGCGCGCGCCCACGAGGCCCCCACGGGCGGGCTCTGGGCGCACACCCGGCGAGCCCGGCCCAGAGCACGAGGAGGCCCACGGGGCGCCCACGAGGCGCCCACGAGGCGCGCACCCCAGGGAAGCCGGCCAGTGCACGGGGGAACTCAGCACGCGCACGGCGCGCCCCCTGGGTGCCCCGTAGGGAGTCCACAGAGGGCGTAGGCACCGAGCCACGAAGACGGGCCCCAATCCGCGAGACTGGCCGCGTCGCGATGCGAACGTTCGCGCGAGGCGTGCTCTCGGAACCAACGTGGCTTCATGTTCGTGCGAGTCCTTCTTTCGCTCCTGACCCGTGGGCGGGCACTGGGCGAATACCTGGGGCTCCCACACGGCTTATTTACACGTCGTTCATGTCTAATCGTGCTCATTTCTAATTGTGCTCGTTTCTAATATTCCTGGCCCCTTAGTGGCCAGGGAGAGGCCCAGGATAGAAGAGTTAGAAATGAAAGGATCTTGGCCCCCAAAAAATCAAACGACTTTCGAAGAATTAGAAATGAAGCACGTGTAGGGGCACCAGAACCCCCTCGTGGTGCTACCATGATCTAGAGTAATAGGCGCCCACGAGCGGCTGCCCTCTTTTTGTGTTCACCCCTTTTAACTTCTTGCTCTCCTCCTCTCATGGCTTTTCTTCCTAAGCGCAGCAACCACCCAATGAAACACATATTGACCGAAGTGATCCAGCAAATCCCTCCTCCCTCCCCGGACCCCTATCCTCCCCTCCCCCTCCTTCATTCCTGATCCCCTCCCTCCTCTCCGTCCTCCCCTCCCCTCTCCTTGCCCCTTCTCCCTCCTTCTCCATCGTATCGCCACTCCGTCTCCTCCATCCTCCATCGTCCCGCCTCCTCACCTTTCCCTCTCCTTCCTTCCTCTCCGTCCTCGGTGTACAGCAGCAGGTAGAGAAGACGGTGGCCGCGAGCAACTTATAGTCTGCTGCGCTCTCAGTGCTCCGCCGCAGCCCGCAGAACTCTCGCAGGGTGAGACCAAAGGAAGTTGCCAGCGTGCTCCCGTCGGGGAGGCAGGCAGTGAAGGCAGAGTGCTTTCGCCATCCGATTGTGATCCCAAGCACGCGGCGCTTGAAAGAATCGAGGCGGCTGGACTATTGTCATGTTTGGCTTCTGGAGGTCTGTTTCGGGCTCCGGGGCCGTCAAAGACGATCCGGGACCAAAAACTGGCCCTGAGGCAAGGTACCAGATGTCTGGCATGGCTATCTAAGTGTCTGGCCATGGCGAAGCACGACGTGTCTTGACTGTGGGCCCTGGCTGACCGTACGACTGTCGCGGTCGCTGTGCAACTAATCAGATGGCCCCTTCAGGGCCGGCTAAACAGACTCACCTTTGCATCGACTGAACTTTTTCTGTGGCATGTAGGTCTGGCAAACAGGCCAGGGACCGCAGACAACGGCTGCTCGCTGCTCGCCTTCTCGCCCCCCACGTCCGCCGGATTGGCCGATCACTTAGAAACAGACAAATCGGCATGAGCACAAACTTTCGGAGGTCTGCGCTGATTTCTTGGATCGGCGCTGGACACCACTCCCTGGCGAGTGGAGCGCCGCCAGGAGGGTCCAACGAGCCTCGGCCACGAACACGCTCCCCGGAACGGCCTGAAAACCAAAACCCCTCCTGAACCCAAAGCGCTCCTTACTTCAGCGTCTTGGCTGTAGCTGGTAACTTCCTCTAATTCCTATTTTTTCATCGTCCCGAATCTCCCAGACCATGGGCCTCTCGCGACGCGTGGGCCCCTGCAGCTCTCGGAAACCCCATCCCCGGGACCAGCTCTCTTCGCCATGCCCGAAGGGCCCGAGGCTCGAAATCGGCTCCAGCGTTGACCCCGAGCAGAGAGGTATTGCACTGTGGATGTCCAAGGCATGAGAATCATGTTGTCAAGCTATGCGGTGGAAGCTATGTGGTGCACGCTATGTTGTGCAAGCCACGCGGACGCGGTGCAGGCTATGCCGTGTAATCAAGCTATGCGGTGCAACATCTGTGGAGTATGCTATATGGTGCCAGCCATGTTTTTGTTGCTTGGAGAAGAGGAGAACAAACATCCCACCAATATGATGTCAGCCATGTGATACAAACAATGAGGTGTAAGCTATGTCGTGGAAGCTATGTCGTGCAAACTGTCGTGCAAAAGCTATGCAGTGCAAGCTATGCGGCCACCCACGAGGCGCCCACGAGGCGCGGTCATGGGCGGCCATAATCCAATAGCCCTTATAACTGCGACGAGGCGACGATCGAAAGCAGTGCCCCGGCACTGCTTTGAACGCGTTCAAAGCAGTGCCCCGGCACTGCTTTGAACGTATGATATGATGATATGATGATGATTATGATTGATGATGATGATGATTTTTCCAGCGTACACTGTCCGCAACTGCGGCAATCAACATCATGTTCCACTTGCCCGCAACTGCGGCCATCACCAACACTGCCCCTCGAAGCTCCACGGAGGGCGCTCGGCAGGTCGCCCGCTCGAGCCCCACTCGACTTCACGCTGAGGAGGCGAGCCCTCAGGGGCATTGTCCGCAACTGCGGCATGATCAGAGGGCCACCACTGCGCGCCATCAGCGCCCCATTCGCTCGAGCTCCAGTCCCACCAGGACCAGCCCTGCCATCTCGTGGCGGGACTGCGCGCCTCCCATGCGCCGCTGCCGCTGGCGTCCCAGGACCCAGCCGCCACTGCGGCACAAGAAGGGGTCGCATCGTCGCCGTTGGCAGCTTGCGGCGGTGGCGTGTTCCCAGCTCGCTCAGCCCCAGCGTCTCTCCCCGCAACTGCGGTTCCCATCTGGGGTCGGACGCCCTTCCCCGCAACTGCGGTGTCCGCGTAGCTGCCCTTCTTGCCGCCCTTCTTGCCGCCCTTCCTGCCGCCCTTCCTGCGTTCCAACCTCGCGGCGAGTCTTTCAGGTGACCTGCGGCACGTATTGTGCGTGAAAGCCACCAGAGGGAAGTGCGCTCCGTGCCTCGCCCTGCCGAAGGCGCCATGCCATATCTTGTCGTCGAGGTTGCCCTGCTTCACTCTGAAGGGATGGCGCACCCAATCGTCGCGTTCCCTGCGCGCCATCCTTTGCTCGAACTCCGCAACTGCGGTCAAGGATTCGCCAGATGGCGTCAGGAAGGCGCGCATCTTGTTTTCAACGGGCTCAGCCTTGGGCACGTAAGTCTGAAGCATCTTCCCAGGGCCATTCGTGTAGTCGAAGACAGGGAAAGACGGATCATGCTGGGTCGTCAAGAATCCGCCCTCACGGTCGTGCAGAACACTCAGGCCATGGTGAAGCTTGTACTGCCCAGGACAGTTTATGAACAAAATCGCCATGCTGTCTGCCCTGGGCTGGCCGCCTGCTGTCTTCCAGGGGGTCCACGCGGCGACGTCCACAGTCAGGCCGCAATTGCGGCACCAGGACACAAGCTGGAACATGCACATGTTGAAGTCCCCCATGCAGACCTTCACGTCCCATTCCCTGACGTAGGCGACGAACCAGTTGTAGAACTCATGGAGCTTCGTGACGCCCCAGTCTTGGTTGGCCAAGCTGTGGTGGACGTGCACCGCCATGACGTTGAAGGAGCCCCCCAAATGGGTCACGGCCTGGTCCAGGTGGACGCGCACCACCATCGCCCTGGAGTACTTGTTGTGCAGCTTTGGCGCAGGAGCCTCCGCAACTGCGGACTGTTTCTTCTTCTTCTTCGTTTTGGACTTCTCCTGCTTGTGGAAGAGTCTCGCAAAGTCTACGTGTTCAATGTGGCCGCCACTGCGGTCCCTCATGCCAACAAGGAGGGTCCCTGATGGCTCGCCGCCCTTAACGCACAGGTAGTTGTATTGAGTCCGACTCCGAAACCTATCGTCCGCAACTGCGGCTGCACTGTCCCTCGCGTCGTGCTCCCCACTGAGTACCGCGCAGGTCTCGTCGTCGCACTCGCAGAGGGCGATGATCTGGGCAGGGTTCGCGCGGAGCTGCGCCCACTCGTCCGCGCGTTGCGTGGGTCTAGCTGCAGTCCCTCCGAAGTTGGCCACGTAGAAGCCGACCCGTCCCGCTTCGAACTCCGTTTTCTCCTCCCATGCGTCGACAAGAGCTCTTTGTTTTTCCGACAGATTGCTTGTCTCGATGATGGGCACCCGTTTCCAGGGTCTCCGCGACGACAACACTCTCGGCATGTAGGAGTCATGTGCTGCCGCAACTGCGGCTCCCGCACCTCCCTGGGACTCAGCCTCGTCAGCGGAGGCAGCCGAGGACGCGACGGTGCTGTCGCCATCTTGCGTCCGCTGGTCGTCGTCATCATCCGCAACTGCGGCTTCCTCGTCTTTGCCTCCCTCCTCCTCCTCAGCGTTGTGGATGAACACCGTTCTGGCGAATCGAGGTCCACGGTCCATACTCCCTGAGGATGCGCTCGGGCGCGCGGGCGGCCACATGCTTGCGTCTTCGCGTGCGCCACCTCGAGCCACGGTGGCTACGGAAATGGATC